TTGGAAAGCGCAAGTAAGTTGGTTTGTTTGTATCTTAACTGCCCTTTTTATAGTACATATTCAAAGTATTTTCGCAACGTTGAGCAAAAAATGATGTAGCAGCGAAATATATTTGTGACTTATTACTGACGGGTAATGGCCAACAGAGGATTAAGCTGGTAGAAATTGGTATGGGATTTGTTGATCAACAATTGCCGTTGATAAACGACCATAAAGACAGACAGTTAAAAGTATGTGTAGCATTTAACATTTCCAAGCCATTTCATTTTCATTCTTAAGTAAATCAATATTCGATTAAAGTTAACTTTAAGTAAATTATTAAATATTTCTATAAATATCAATCAAATTATTTTGTTCATTATTAGAAATATTTCATTTATAAAAGATGACTTCATCAAACAGTTACGTATACTTGATTTATTTCATATCCAATATTAGTTTGATGTAATCGCTTTAGCTGTCTCCTATTAGGTTTCAAAATATTTCCATACAAATTTACATATGGCGTATTTCTATTTGTGGCAAATACAACAACTATTAGTGACACACGTTACTTGCAACTGTTTCGATTCATTTTGTTTGTATTCATTGCAAGTTCTTTGGCAATGTTTGTATTTTTAGCAATATCCTGCCACTGTCATTTTTACTTCATTGATATTGTGTATTTTTATTTGTTGTTTATAAGCGCGACCCGTTATACACTTTTTCAATCATTTGCTGATAGATTTTTCGATGCGGTTTTATTGCCGGCATCTGGTCGAATGAGCTCGTATAGACGTAGGCGTAGGGGCGTGGCTGAATCCATACACACACACACACACAAAACATAGTTCAAAGTGTTGTAAATATTTGTTTTACAACGTTGTTTGCACTTGGTGAAATTTGCAACCATTTTTTATGCGCCAAAACTGACGGTCGCTGAATTGCGTTTGGTTTTAGAGACAGTTGCGTTGGGTGGTGGGGGCGATACGGTTTTTGAGGGTGGGTTCAGGGGCTCTTTCGGATATGGGTCTGGTAAATGTTTTTATACCGAGCAGCGGTGGCCGCTTGTTTATTTTTTTCGGCTGCATTTTGACGTAGATTTAGTGAGAGCTATTTTGTTAGCCGTCTCACTAATATTTGATGAGTTCCCAACTATCTATTTTCTGATACCCTACGCTCATCAAATAAGTGGAAACAATGGAGGTTACTTAGCTACTCTTCAAGTTCTATGTGATTGAGTGTAAAAATGCATACTAAGTAATTGAATGGGCAATAATAAAAGTGAACAGAGATTAAATAACTTTGTAATTTAGTTTATAATATATTTTTCTGATTGCCAACAAAACTCAGATGCACTTCCAAATTCAAATTCAAAAAATAAGGTTTCGATTAACCATCGATTAATCATTTGTATGTAAACATATATTCTGGACTAACACACGAAATATTGTAGAACTTAAAGCGATTGAATTTGTTTGTCCAAAATACAGGGTATCTTTAAGCCAATTTGGACGTACATATTAGTTTGCAAACGGGCCAAAAGTAATTGCATTGAAATGCATATGGAATACTTTCGATTAAATGAAAAATTGCAGTTGACATGCAGCTCTCAACCCTCATTCCAAAAGCAATGCACTAGATGGCCACTGCCCCACTTAGTAACAGTTGCAGCCCAATTTGATAATGCGCAAAGTCCACACAGTATAATTGAGTTGAGTTGTGGGAGGGCGAATGGCGAAGGAGGGAAGTAGTAGCAGAATCTTAGCCGTGGCCAAAAGCTGTCAGGCAAGGCAACGTTTGCCTGTACCTAATTGCATTTGCGCTAATCCAATAGATTAAGAAGCATCTGAAACTGAGGCAGCATCTCAAGCTGAGACTGAGACTGAGTCTGAGACTAAGGCTGGGGCAGCATCGGTAGCTTTTCACTGTTGACGGTTGCCTTTTGTAGCTGCTTTCTCTTGGCCCTGTAATGCAATGCAAAACAATAACAAAATTATGCTGCCAGCGAGCAAGTGACAAGCTGACAGTTCAGCTGACCTCAAAATGGAAAATGATAAGGAAAAATAGCAGAAAAAATAGCAAAGGAAACTTCTTTCTCATTTCATGGCTTCTTAATATTTACTTTAGTTTTCTAGTTAATTTTTGTAATTTAATTAGTGACAGCGAATATGCAAATCATGCATATATTATTATTTGTGTAAATGACGCAAAATGTTCAACGCACACATCTGGGCCGACATTTTGGACAACTAATTATATGGTGACATGACATTTATTTGACTTGCATAAATTAGCCAATTAGTTGAGTAGCGCAAATGAAGTTAGCTCCCAACTGCTTCTCAGGTGTGAAAATCAAATGAGCGTTCCCCTTTCGCACCACCCTCCCCCGCCTCCTCCTTCCTTCCCATCCCATCTCGGCGAAAGTTACGCTCAGAAGTTGTGCGCAAAACAAGTTGAAGTTGAGCATTTTAAACCAGAGCTAAAGTTCGAGATTGTTTTGAATAATTTGCGAGAACTGCACTTAGTTTTGAATATGGTAGTAAAAGAGTCCCATTCAATCGATAAACGAAAATTTAAATAAATTAAGGTTTTAAATCGTCATGAACACAATCTTTTATATTATTTTGCTCGTTAGTCAATATATTAAGCTGAATAATTAAAATTTTATAAAATTTTAATGATTGTGTTATATATATGTAAAAATGTATTCAGTGGAGATTTTGCAAAAATATCAAATTGAATTTTTAATATTATTACACTCGTTATTGATAATTATAGAAAATTCTTATGGAAGACAAATACCGACATGATTCGAAATATATATATATATCTTTCAAAGTCCTATATATTTTTAAATATTTCCTTAGCAGAAACTCAGGTATATTCTTGATAACAAACAATCTTCAAGATGAATACACTTTACCCACTGCTTTTTTGGATTAGGATTAGTGTCACAAGCCCACTCACAGTTCATGCAGTTACTCATTGTGTGTCTGGCTGCATGTTTGGCTGACTGTCAGCCTTCTGAGACAACTGGAGAACATATCCAAAGAGTCTGGTCTCGTCCAGAGTGCTCGAATTGGAGATGTCATATATCAAACTATAAAATTGTCAAACATTGTACTTAAAGGCCGATAATTTTTTTGTTGAGAACGCAAGTTTTTAATGTTTGGAGAAGCGGGTTCGTTTTGAACAAAGGAACCTTACCACTTATTCCAAATGGCTGCAGGGTTTTCTAAAAAGAAGGAAGTTGCTGTAGTCGCACAACAATTCGTAGACATGTGCAACTCGGCGTATACGCATTCTAGCTAACACATGACCGAATGCAATGGTTAAAAACAACGCCCACACATTTGCCAGACGACGCTTGTCATCATTAGATTAGAGTGCAGAGACACACACCCCCCACATCCACACCCATACACACACACACACGTATACAAAAGACAAAAATTAAACTGTTGGGCGTTGGCAACAACAACAACAGAAGCAGCAGCAGCAGCAGCAGCGACTGCGTTTTGCTTGTCAGGATGTGCGTTAAATTGTAAAACAACACAAAGAGGGATCTGGCTATAAAAGGGTGGGTGCGAGGGGCAAGGTGGGTTATGGGTAGTCACATTGGATTTGGCCCAGCTGGCTGCTGTTGCTGTTGGGCTGTCATGCTGTGGCCAGTTCTCGTTTATTTTTGCGTATTAGACGGCTGCTATTTTGTGCTTATTGTTTCCCAGCCCAACAACAAACCAACCCTACAAGCCACTCCCCCAATCACCCCAAACTCACCACCCCCTCTCCCCTTCCCCTCTGCTAGCGGTACGCTTCCTTCGACATTGCTAGCCCTGTTATTTTTCGGTTGTTTGGATTCTTGGTTGCTGTTCGCATTGTCAGCTCATTTGTAATTTTTGCGCTACGATTTCAAATTAAGCAGCCGGAAATGAGCTGACATTTTGCCTGTTGTCCTTGTTGTTCTGCTGCTTGTTTTACTGTTGTTGTTCTCGTTGTTCTTGTTATTCTTTCTGTTGTTGCTTTTATGCTGGCATTGGTTTAACAACACTGTTCGGTATTCGGCAACACTTCGACCTGCATTTCAAGTGCTCAAATGCAAATTTGCTGCTTACATGTTGTGCCTTATGACGATATTAATATTTACATTTTGCCAACTATTGTCCTGCTTTACCATTCACGTCCTTTAGTTGCTCTTACTGCACACGTACATTCGGCAATTTTTTTGTTTATTGCCTTGTGCAGCGCATCCGCCCTTACCACTCTTGTAAATACATCCATACAGCCATCGGTAGATGGATAAGTTGTCATCATTAACGTTTTCACAGCTTCCTTAATGCATATAATTATTTTGAGCTGCATTACAGAAATAAAGGTTGGGAGTGAAATGAACACGAGGTTAAACAAATTATTCTATATTCATCAATTTCGCAGAAAGTGATGCAATTTTAATGGGTAAAAACAAATAAAACTTATGTTTTGAGTGGCTGTATAATGAATTATAAAAAGTAATAAATAAAAATTGTATGTGTTACCTAACCTGTAACCTTTAAATTTAATGTTTTATTTTAATTGAGAGAGTCTTATTTTGTATTAAATTGAGTCCTTATTAAAATAATAAATTTGTTTAACTAATACACACTACTTTACTGCAGAACTATTTATCATCCCAATTTTGGCTTCAGATCATTTACATGGTGTTGGGTTAACAGCGACTGTTAAAACCCAAATTTCCCTTAATGGGCACAAATTCGAATTGAAAAGCTTTTGCCAATTACATCATACGCTGGCGACACTCTCTCGCAGTCAGCTGTTCGCTGCTCGCATCAAATTATCCCACACGAAGCACAGACATGCCCAACTGTAAAGCAATTCGGCCGCTTTCGTTAAGTTCCGAGTCACAGTTGCAGGCACCCGAAGAGCGGCAGGCAACGGCGTTGGCGACAGCATGCCCGCTGCCGGCGACTGCCATAGCGAATGGCAGGCAGAGGACGACAGCTTCCTGCTGCTGCTGCTTCAGTTACGTTGATAATGTCAAAACGTTTGGTTCACTGTGCTGCTGTTGCTGCTGCTGCTGTTAGTGCTGCTGCCGCCGCCGCCGCTGCTGCTAAAGCTGCTGCTAACGACGCTGCCACGCAAGGACAACAACACGGCAACACGAAAACATCGACAACAGCGACAACAACGACAACGCAGAATGTTAAACGGTGCGCGCCTGGTGCATAAATAAGTAAATTAGTGAACGGAAACAATTAATTAACAATACGAGACATAAAGTTGCATTTGCTGTCACACAAACAAAATGAAATCAACACAAAAACAACAAATATAAATCGAATTGATAAAACGACGCCCATGGCAAAGTGTCAGAATTGTGAAAATTAATATTTCACTAGAGATTTGAGTACTTTGCCAAACAAACAGTGCAAACAACGTAAACTTTTTTCGGTTTTTAAAACATTTTATGGTTTTTGACCCACAAAACACACACACACACACACAAGCAGTTCTCATTCTCTCTCTTTTTCTCTGTCTCTCTGTTTTCCGTTGTTGCGCGTAAAATTATGAAAAATATGTCCAAAATGTGCAACAACAAAAACAACAAACACGTAAACAACAACAAGAACAACAACGTCAGGAAAAACAACACGTAGGACGGCAAAGTCCGGTCTCGGTTTGAATTTGGATTTGGGTTTGGGTCCCTTTCCAGTCTCCAGCCTCAGTGTCGGTCTCAAAGTTCAAATCCCAGCCGTGTTCTCTCAGTTCGTGTCCGTTTTGGGTATATGTGTGTGTTAGTGTGTGTGCATTTTTACACAAGACTGCAACCAGCAAGCGTTGTGTAACACTGTAACGTGCTAAATTTGTTAATTTACGACCACTGACTACAAATAATCAAAAGCAACAGCAACGAGAAAACATAACATTTGATATTTGTTATTCCCCAAAGGTAAGCAGCAACCAAAATTATGTTTAACACCCAAGTTAAGTCTTTACTTAGAGAATAGTTCGGAAATGCACATGATTTTGAAGGTACGCATATTCAAGTGATTCTACAGATGCCAAGACATACAATATCCAAAATAATATGTACTCAGCTTTATTATTATTTTAATTAACAATCTAATATTATGCACACAAATTCTATTGCAACAAAACCACATGATTTCTGATGACAACTTCAATTGAATTCAGACTGCAAATCGTTTGTAGTTTTGAACAATAGACCATGAATAATGTAGTCTGCATTAATTTGTTGAACTTAATAGAAGACAACTTGTGGTCTTGGTGATTTGCAGCAAATTAATTTCCATTTGAAGCACAGCACCAACATTTGGCAAATATTGCAATGTCAAATCTTTATGATACACATTTGTATGACAACTGGTTAAATAGGAACACAATTACCAGAATCCATTCAAATAATTGTTTACCAATTGAAACAAAGAATTAAGATACGAGCTTATACAAACCAACAGAATATTTTAACAATAATATTGTACAAATTATTCCAGATTTTAAATAAGTAAATATTAAAAACCAATGAAACTATTTATAAGAATTATATATCAATGGATCATTGGAAAATTCTTTTGTTCGTCGTTCATATTGAGAAACGCTCGCAGACCATTGTGCAGGTTGCTGGACTCGCATACAACCAATAAAAACAATTGTCGCCGAGCTTGAGAGTCACACAAACTGCATTTGCGTAATTTCAGTGGCAGCTACTTGCCCCAGTTGCTCATAGCAAAAACATTCATTGCAGACATCTGAACAATAAACTATATTTCAACAGTTATAAAATATGTTATTTCTGTAGCGTAAAATATATATAAATATTTTCCTGTGGGTACAGTAAAAACAGCAATGGCAATAACATTTTTGAATTAATATAATAACTCTCTTATTTTATGGCATTGTTTGACAATTGAAAATATTAATTATTATATTAGCGACGCTGGAGCACGAATAAGCTATACGATTGGTGTTGCAACGAGCTCAACATAATAGAATAATTATATGTATAAGTTGCATATTAATTGGGGCAATTTAATCAATGTTAAGCTTAGGACAAGAAAAATATAAGTCTTTATAGCTTTTTAACTCTTCTTCAATACATAATTAAATAAAATAATAATTTAATTACTGATTTTTTTTTATAATTAGAGCTTAGTGGTTTTTTTGAGTGGCAAGAAAAAGAGATTAACAGTTCAATAAACAATCACGGCTGTGTTTGATCGTTAAGTAAATAAAAATGGTTTATTTTCCCATCCGAAATAAAAATACTTATTTCAGTCATTTATTGAATTAATTGAGAGCTGTTAAAATATAACGACATTCAAATGTATTCCAAATGTCTTCCAAATGTTCTCGCTCCCACAATCACATAAAAAATTAAAACTTTCTATTTCCATTATTATTAAAAAATATTTATTAAATGGGATTACTATAACTTGCTTTTTTTTTAAATGTTTATATTTATCACTTGCAGATATATTACATTTAAGGACACTTTCATCTATTCCATACGCAGTTATTCAGTTTTCAATCAACTAGCAGGTTTCGCAAAAAAAAATCGTTATAAACCGATAAAAAAATCAATGCCAATTGAAGCCCGTGACCTATTTCAGACTACAATACATTGTTGTGCTCTATTAAAAAAAAAAGAAAAATAAAAAAAGTACTCACATTGTCTGAAAGTGCATTCCTTGTTTTGCACGTTTTTTTCCAAGTATTCTTTTTGTTGCTATTTATTTTTGGGGTTAACCCGAAAACAAGCAATTTAGCATTCAGCGCTTTTTCCATTGTTTTTAAGCCAATGTTTGTGCATATATATATATATATATATACATATATACATGCATATAATTGGAGATTTTTTTTCAATCGAGCTCGAACATTAAATTGGCAGAATTGTTGTGCCAAAGTTGAGAGTGTTGTCCAACAAAAATTAAGGTACTGAGGAAGATGAAATTAAATGATGTACACATACAACAAATTTATTGAGCTCAAAAATATGAAAACTTTGTTCGTGCTCCTGGGTTAATAGAAGGGTCCAAAACAGCCCCATTCCCAGCAGCAGGCGCATCTGTTTCGCACAAAATAAAATGGCGGACAGCAGCCGCAGTCACAGCAGCCGCAGCACTCCATGCAGGGCAGTAGCGGACCGCAGGGTCCGCTGGCCAAGCGATAGGAGACAAAGCCACAGGGCCCCTGGGCACAACAGCTCTGTCCACAGCAGCTCGGTCCACAGCGACTGCAGCCGGATCCCCCGTTGCCGCAGCAGTTCTTGACACAGGGGCCACATGGTCCGCCGCAGCCCATTTTACAATTTGCTTTGCTTGCGCCTCACCTGTTGCGTGCGTCCTATTGCCAATGATCCACACAAAAAATATGCTAAATATGGCAGGCAATAAGCAGCTACCTTTACGTCATTTAGCGCCCCTTTTGGCTTCGATTGGCAAAAACACTTTCTTAGGGCAATTTTCTAATATTTTTGTTTGATTCGTATATATTCGTATATGTTGTGACAAGACACTTGACATTTCTCTCCGTCTTCCAAATACATTGCTCAATATTTATCACCTCAAAACCGCACTCAACATTTAATTTAATTTCAACGTGTATTTTCTCTGTGGGGTCGCCTATTTGGCTATTTCAATATAACTACTACTCCACCTGCAGCACTTCCTGTTCCTCCTACTCCTCCTCTATATATCAGCTGCACTGTAGCTAAGCCACAAGGGTAAGGAATAGGTTCTAGTCTGAGTTTGGGGGCATGCCGATGCGGTTGGTTGGGTCAGTGGGGGCTAATGTAATTGATTGTCTGGGCATGGCTGAACAAGACCTGAAAGTGCACTACGGCAAGTGCGAAAAAAAACTGGATTGTCTACCACTCGTTCTCTCCCACATTTTCCGTGTGAGTGTAGTGCACAATTTTTGCATACCAACTGCGTTTGAACTCTACAGTGGTTGACATTTGTCGACTTATGACAAGCTCTGTGATGAATATATTAATTTATTTAAGATTAATATAACGTATCGAGAAGATTAGTTTACTACAAAAAAAAAAACTGATATTGTAGTATACAAATTAAAAAAACAAATGACATGGAGCCAGCGGAAGACATATATAAAAACCAACCAAATATAAAAATACAAAAATGCACACAAATTACAAGTGCATTTAATATTATTAAAAATATTCATAAAACATAAACACATTTTTAGCGAGCTGATACCACTGTGCCCGGGTGTTGGATTAATTTCACTTTAGCCTGCCATTTTTTTAAGCATATTTTCTTTTTTTTTGTTCGCTATACGAGATTTTCGTGGATTTCAACACGGCTTGGGAAGATTTACGAAATGGTCTGGCCTGGCTGTCAGGTTGGCTGGTTACTCTGGCCGGGTGGGTCTAGTGCAGAGATTTCAATTGTACAAGTCGGCGGTGCTGGGCATGTCAACAGCTGTCACGAGTTACAGGACCGAAAACGACGTCTGTCTATGAAATGGGTTTCATTCTAAATCCCAATTCGTTCCTGGCAACAATATCAAACCAACAATAACCACTCGTTCCCATATTTTTCTCCGGCTTCAGTTGATTTACCTACAAATTTTGAGTCTGTTTTTTTTTTTTGGTGCCCGAAGTTCCTCTATCCTCCAATAACAATGTGTGGCGGTTGGGCCTGTGCCTCCTATGGCATTGCCTGCAACAATCATCGTTTGTCCAATATGCGCTATACTGGCCGCTGTTTTGCACCGACGCCGTGCGGCCCTTGCGATAGTTGTTCCGCCTGCTGTGGCGGTGGCAGTTGTTGCGGCGGTTGTGGTTGGTAGTGTAAACATTAAAACATAGAACAAACAACTGACTGGTAAGCCAAAAACTATCTGCTATATGTGTTTTATTATCCATCCTGCTTTGCAGAAGCCTGACAATAATGAATTCGAACAGTTGGCATAGAAATTTTGACTAGCAATAGAATAATAAATGCTTAAATAGAAATATACAAGTTTAGTCGCTGTCTGTCAGCCAACGTACCACAGCAAAATTTTACAGTTTCACGAGTAAGTACAATACAAACCCCAAACATAACAAATTAATACCTATAATCACAGTCAATACCTATCATCCATAAGCGAGATGTGCGGCGGCTGGGCTTGTGCCTCCTATAGTCTGGCATGCAATAATCCACAGCTTTCCACACTGCGCTTCACGGGACGTGATTTCATACCTACGCCGTGTGGACCCCATGATAAGTGTTTCGCCAAGGATACAAGCTGCACCCGTGGCAATTGTAACCGACCGCAAGGTATCTCAGTCGAAATGAATCCTTGCCTGGATCTAACCAAAACTGAAAATCGCGAAGAGGGATCACATTCACCCAACCAGGCGAAAGAAAATTGGAAAACAGCATTTGAGAAAGTCCTACGTAGTCCGGCAGCCAACTCGAAATAATCGCTTAACTGTTTGAATTATGAGATCTTTACAAATATAAAATGAACAGTTAGGAAAAATTCCTCATGAGTTATCCAATTTCAACAGCTTTGATTTCCCTTCCAAAGAGTATTTTTTATGCTAATAGAATTCAAGAAATACATTTTCAACAATTTTATTTACCAAACCACTTACAAAACGACCGGAAAAAAAATGTTCGTCGTATTCCTACGCAACTGAACTTAGCATTGATTATGATTATGATTGTTTATGTCTAGTATGTATATTTATGCGACTAATAGAAGGGACCAAAGCAGCCGCATTCTCCGCAGCAGCAGCATCTATTTGGTGGACAAGTCCAGGGACCACAGGGTGGGCAAGGACCGCAACAGCAGTTATTGTAGTTCATCGCAGGCAAAGCGGGTCCGACAGGACCATAGGCAAGGGCATATGAAACACTTCCGCAAGGACCGCAGCACATTTTTTCTTAAATTGATACTTAGCTAGAAAAAAAAAGAAACTACAATTGCATATATAATAATTCTCAAAATGATTTAAGACTTACCAGTTCCAAAAACAGAATATATTATTTCTACTCGCGTTTGGAATACGAACGAAGATTTTTTTTTCGTTTCACAAGTTTTCTTTCGGTGTTACAATTGAGGCGAAAAACGAAAATGAAATAATGATATTGGAGCTATTGTAGCGTCGAACATCAGAGAGCTCCATGCAGAATTTCAATTCGATGCCAACTTGATTTGTGCTTTAAAAAAAACTTTTCAGTAACTGAGCAAAGAAATATCGATCAAAAGCTGCACATGTCCATAGCAATTCGTTCTTTTTTGCACAAATTTCACACATCAATGATTTAACACCAGGTCGAGCTCAAATATAAACGCAAAAAAAAAGCATACCAGAAAATAAACTGGAATTTTTGTAAACGACAAAATAGCGCAACAGTTTCCCCCTTCATGGCAAAAATAAGAAATCATTGAAACATGTCTACGAAAAATAAAAGAGTCGAACAGAAAGCGCTCCATAAAACGCCAGAGCAAAGTGGATGGCAAAGGATTTCGCTTACCGTGCGCCTGCAGCTCAGAGTTTCAGGACTCGACTCGACTTGACTCGAAAACTGGAAAAACTGGGGCAAAGTCGAAGTCAACCCACAGACAGCAGCCATGAAAGTCTATTAGACTCAACGAAGCAACCTTAACGTCATTTCAACTCGATGGGGGTTAATGTCTCAGTATGTGTGTGTGTGTGCAAGTATGGCACATAACAGTACACAACAGGACTGACTACCTACCTTACAGCGCCTGTGCATATGTGTGTATGTGTGTGTGTGTGTGTGTGTGTGTGTGTGTGTCTATGTCTGTGTGCTGTGATTCACAAAAGCTGACAAGCTCATCGATGCCTGAACATTAGCTAAACATAAATTACACAGATGACTGAACAACAATTGAGGCGTTTATTATAATGTGTGTTCACACTTGAAGCTTTATAAAGAGCCAACACTCCGGGCATAGGTACAAGCAGATAGAAAGTGCAGACTTAAGATAAAATAAAGTATAAATTGTAGACTTAATTTTTCTTACTTTAAATCTGACGAGCAATATGTTGAGGCAGAGATAAGTTAAAAGGAAAAATCTTTTTTTTTTCTTTTACGTGGCATAGGGAAGAGATATCTTAGCTGAAGATGTTGATGCTGATGTTATTCCTGGAAATATAATTTACAGAATATAGAAAAATACGAGAAAGTTGATTTATAAAATATGTTGAGCATTGAAATAGGTAACCAAATGTTTTAAGTTGTTGAGTGCTACGAGCTTCTTAGTTACTTCATTTGAAGTCAATTCATTTTTCAAATTTACAATTTTTATTAATTCTAGTGCACTTTCAATAATTCCAATATTTTCTGAAATTATGTAACTAATGATTTATTCCTCATAGCTCAGAATTAATAATATTTTGTACATATAAATATATATTCGAAGTCATATCTTAAATAATTTTCTAAGCCGTCGAAGAAAGTGTTTAGGAAAGTGGTTTCAAATAATCCTTTACTCCACATCTCCAAAGGTATATTTTAAAATTTCGAATAAAATATTGATTGACTTTATAGTATTTGCTTAGGGTAAAAATATTATTATTATTATTATTGTTATTAGATACGATTTCGCGAACTATTGAAAACTTATGCTTATAAATAATAATCAAAAGCTTACTCGAAGCGTTTATTTCTTTGCATTATCTAGCTATGCAAGTTTTCCTTACTGCGAATATCAACTTTGTGTGCGCATTTGAAAACTATTGTAAAACTAATTTAGCAATAGCAGTCAAAAGAAAAATCGAATCAAACTCGACTCGCGAGGGTCGCTTCACGACCCCATGGGGGCAGGGCTGCATCGTCCCCTAAAAAATGGTAGTCCACTTAAGATAATCTCATTGGTAGCATGCCAAAAAGTTTGCAGCGCGCCCAGAGAAAACACACACAATATAAAAATGTCACCACAGTGAACAAACCACAGAAAAAAAACAAAGCAACAAAAAATATATATAAACATACACACAAGAAAGTAAATAATAGCAGCAACAGCAACAATAACTGAAGAAGGCACATATTTCCTTTTAAATCAAATAGACGACCAAAAGTTCTATAACAGGTTTTTTTTGTGCTGCTCTCCCTTTTGCTGTGTCCTTTTTTCAAGTGCCTGTAGAGAAGCAGCTGCAGAAGCAGCAGCGGCCCCCTTCATTTCACTCCAGAAACATATTGAGCCGCTGGCACTTGAGTGTGCGCCAAGAGATAAGCGCAATTATATGGCCTCAAGTGGCGGACTCGATTCGCCACGGTCCAGTCCGGCTTGCGTCCTGTCCCCGCACTGTATAAATTAGGTAAAAATCGTAACTTATGTGACGGGGCCCTCATTGAGTCCCACAGCTCGGCCTCGGCTTTAAGTGCACTTTTCTGTGTGGGTGTATAGCACTTTAAATCTGTATATATGTATATATATATATATATTATATTGAAAAGGTATCCTTGCAAGGCAAGAAAATTCCTGTGAACTTTTGGCATGTCACATTTGTCTTCAAGTGCTCGTTATGGCCAATTTTTGGCAACTGCTTTCGAGTTTTTGGCTTTTGTTTTCCAACCGCATACTGTGTGGGTTTCTGTGTGTGTGTGAGTGTGTGTGTGTGTTGTGGGTGAGGTTTGTTGTGTGCTGTTCTTTTTCGAGTGCTCTCATAGGTACCCCGATGGCATGTCAAGACTTGCGGCATGCCAAGGAAATTATTGCAGAGAAGTGAAACGTTGACAAGTGCCCATTGAAAATAAGACACGCAAATCGTCAATATACTGGATACAAGAAATTTAGTAAGCCAAAGGATTACGCAAACTAAAAGACTATATATCAAAACACATTTAAGTTTTTTTTACCAATTTTGAAAATGAATGTTTGATTTTCTACAGATACAAAACATTTAAATTCTTGAGTTCGAAATATTATTTTGGCCACTACAATAGCATAATGAAACTGTTAACCTGCATTTGTCAATGCTGATACTTTATCAAATTGAACATGATGTTTCTTATCATTCTAGATTAAAGTCGATGTGGTCCAAAATATTTAGGGATAGGCTAAATCTTTCGATTTAATCACAGATATCAAAAACGAGGACTGTTTAGTCATTGTTTGATGTCACATTTCTATGACATCTGGTCTTGGTTAGTGTTGCTGTGCAAAAATATATATATATTAATGAGATCGGAGACCTTTTCAGAAAGTTACAAAGCTCGAGTCCGATTAGTTGATACCCTGGAACTAGTTATTGCCATACATATCTATCCAAGGCTAATCAATAAAAATTAATCGAAGAATTTGTGATTTTAATTGCAATTATAAATTGATATTAAGATAGGGATCTGCCTCCGACAGGAAATTGAAGTTTATCAGAGAGATCTATAAACAAAATTCAACGGATAATTTTAAAAATATGTTTTATAAGACTTTCTTGATTTGATTGCCTATCTCCGCATATTAAGCATTTGCATAGCCTTCAAAATACTTTTAATTTACTTGGAAACCTTTACACTTCACCTATCCCATCATTAAATATTATATTTAGCCGTAATCGTTTACTCAGACATACGAAATCCGTCTTGCATTAACTCATGCGAATTACTGAGTTGGGTTTGAGAGATTCGTGATTTGGCTGGCGGGCCAGGAATGTTTTAGATATTTTTGTTAAATATTTTGCGTTCTAGTAAGAAGCTTCAACGATTGCTGCTTTTTGTTGAGCTAGAATGTATCAATACTTTTTTTCCGTTTTTCTCTTTGAGGCTGCAAAATATTATTCGTTTATTTGCACAGCCTCCTCGTCAGCGTCTTTTTCTGCTTGTTTTGTTCCTCCCTGTTGTTGTTGTTGCCGTCTACTTGGCACCGGCGTCGTCTGCTGCTCCCCTCTTAACCTACCCTCCCCGGCAGTAATCATACTGCTGCTGCTTGGTTAGTGTGGCTCAGTTCCTTTTGATTTTTGGGTTTTTTGTCCGTTTGGCAGACGCTTGCTAGCTTTCCCCGTAGCCTCATGTGCGTGGGTGCGTATGAGTGATATTTTTTTCTTATTCATTTTTGTATTTTCTTTTGCCCTTTGTAAATGCTGGCAAACATAAAACATCAAATGTAAATTGAAAGTCGTTCGTGTGTGAAACTGAATGTGTCATCAGTTGAAGCGTTTATCATTTTTTACAGCTTTTGGCTTGGGCTCGCTTTAAGAAATGTGTTGTTGCTGTTTTTTTTTTTATTTATTTTTTTTTATTTGCTTGGCGTGTCAACTTGCCTTTAAAAATGTGGGGCCGGAGAAAATAGGCGGGAAGTGGGTGAATGAGTGAGTAGGCGTGTCTAAGTTGTTTGCTGTGCTGCTAGGCGAAGCATTGACTGTGCAATGTTTTGTAAAAATCTTTTATTTCCGCACAGCCACTCCCTGCCACAACGCCCCCCCTTTCCCAATTGTTGATATGCGACACATGTGGTACAGCGGCATCTTTTACTGTTTGAGTTTCGAGTTTGCTTGCTTTCATGTAAATATGAATGCAAAGTACTTGAGCGTAAACAACAGCGACATTCAAAGGTTGTCATATAGCTTATTGAAATCTTATACAAAAGAGTAAAAAAAATAAAAGAAAAGATGGAAGAAGAAGCAGCTACTATGAGTATATTATATATCAATGGGAACAGTTGATAATTAACTTATAGTCCTTTACAAGCTGTTCAATATTTACAAACGACAGACTAAGTAAATTTATTTTTGAATAAAAGGAATGGTTCTATAATTTTTCAAAAATTAATATCCCATCTACTTTGAATTTTTTAATAATGTTTATGTTTGTTACACATATTATTGCCCCATGTCACAATGCCAATAAGAAACTAATGACCATTTTTAATAACTATATATATATTTTGAATACATTGAACACATAACACATTGAAATTGTTGATATTGTCAGTTACTAATTATAACGTTGCGAAGGCCAGCATACATTTAAACTAATTTGCATATATCTGACCCCTAAAGCATTTAGTTAAAAAACAAATATTGCAATAACAATGACAGGCGAAATATTTCCAAAAACTCGAAACGCTGAAAGGCATTTTGTTTATAGAACATGTGGCTTTTGTTTGAATGTTTACAAATTATTTACAAATTAATTGAAAGTTACGCAATTAACGCACATTGCGCTCTCTCTATTGTACTCTATTCTCTCTCTCTTTCTCTCTATTTCTCTCTCTCTCTCTCTGTCTCTATATCTTTCTCTCTCTCTCTCTGTCACGTGCAAATATGTGTGTGCCATGCAAATGTCAAACTCATATGCAAACAATTGCGAAAATGCTAAAATACATTTCAGCTGTCAACTGCAACTGCAGCTACTGCAACAACAAGTGCAACAGTTTCTGCAACACTATCTGCCAGCTGTGGTTAGCTTCTGCTGACACAGTTGTTGTTATATTTGTTGCCTTAGCTCCTGGCTGTTACTGCCGTGGCACTAGCTTCATGTCAATCCTTTGTGGCTTTCCCAGTCGTTTAATTTGAATTTAAAATGTTACTTCAACATTTTTGTTTAGCTCCGTCACACCATCCACAAGTTCCCCGCCACTGCGCACTCATTTTCCACTTATTTACAATTACCACATTTTACTATACCCGCCCCTCAACCTTCTCGTTTCGTCTTCCATTCGCCCGCTTCGCTGCATTTACATTTTGCCATTTTATTTACACTCCTGTTTATATTTGTCACACTTTTGTCTTTGTTTTCCCCTGTCGGTCCATTCATCCGCCCTTGTCGTACATTTTTAACTGCATTTTTGTGTATTTGTCAAGTACCCTGAACCTCTAACCACGAGGGCCACCTCCTATACCTCTCCCTCTCGTGCCCTTCCGTTGCGCATCCTTTTGCCCAAGCTGGTAGATTTTGATTGTATTTTTGTTGATTTTGTTGCAATTTTAATTACTTTAATGAAAGTTTTAATTGCAAAATAGCAAAAACGTAGACCCACAGTGAGAGCAGCACGTAATGAGTTTCTGCGGTCTAAGAAAGGTTAGCAGCTCCAACAACGAAAACTTCAAGTACAATTCCAATGACAACTAAGAACACCGGAAATTTCAACATTGTATTCTAAATTGCTCCTGATAGGTAACTCACAGGAAACAATTGATTGATATGGAAAGCTTTTAGTTGCGAAAGTAGTAAAAGAAAAAAAGGTTAGCTAACTTCAACTTAAAAGAGTAATTACTTTTATATCTAAAAAGCGGTAGATTTTTTGAATAATTTGATTACATAAATTGTTCCATGTTCCATAAAACATCTAAAATCAAATTCACAAAAATCAATAAATATTGTAAATTTGAGTTACGCAGTATAAATACACCTTTGTATGAGCTGTATTTTCAATTAATTGCATAACAATTGATTTCAAACATAACGCAATGAATACGTATTTGAATTATTTTGAAGCTTGATTTGTAAATAATATTGACAAAAATCCCTTGACTCCACTTAATTCCGATCAATGCTTCAAGTTATGCAATATGCACACATGTAATGGTTGTTGGCGTTTGTCCTCTGAGGCATCCTAATGGGGGCTTAGAACAACATCAAAAACATTTCAGTTGAGAGATTGCCTCAGCCCACAGCCCACAGCCAACAGCTTGACCCATAAAGTAAAGCAAGCAAATCAGCACAAAGAGCAAAAAAATAAATATATATATATATATGTATCCATGTAAAGAAAATGCATGTCATACTCGTCCTGCTGTCCGTACAGTCTCTGATAGAAATCGCTTAAATAAAATATGCACACAATTGAGAGACCGCAGGGCACTGGGAAATGAAATAAGTGAGCCGTGGAAACCAGGCAAAGAAATAAATATAAACTCATAGATATAAAAACCAAACCTAAAACAACAATAACAAAAACAGCAGCAGCATCAACTCAAATGTGAGACTGCAAAGTCAACGAACTGCAGCTACATGATACGCAAAAAAAAGGAGATGGACAGAGAAGGAACTATGAAAACCCAAAGTATCTTTTGCGCTGGTGCAGAACTGTGATTTTGATGTCGTCGTTTTGAGTGTTGTGCAGCAATGAGAGAATAACTCTTATTTTGTTATTTATATATAAAAAGAATATAGATTTGTATTCTTTGATGCCAGTTTGTCAATTGTGTGTGTGTGTGATCTACTGCACAAATACGAGTATCGAAAAGCGAAAGAAGTTCATCACAAACCCATACGATACACGCATAAGCGAATGTTAATGGCATAGTATGTTTCTCTGGTGTTTAACTATTCCAAATATATAATTTATTTTTCAAACTGCACAGCTAACTGTGCGAATTCATAAATACTATCATAAATACTACTTTAACAATTCAACTTCTGTTTACTCGTACAAAATGCAAATAGCATTCTTAAGTTTTTTTATGAGCTTACTCAATATATCCTGAGCTGACTGTCCACCATTATTTAAGTAATTGTTGCAATATTTTGGTACAAGTTTGAGACTTGTTAACTGCATGCGGCATCGACTTTGGACATAAGGCGCATGAGTGGTCAGTGGCCACTCCACTAGCGTAAAGCAAACTACGAAAATTTAATTATACTTCGTATAATTAAAATTGGAATGTGGTGGAAGTTACCAAACACTCTCTATTGAGGAAAGTCGTAAGAAACATTTTTTAAAAAATCACAATTTCAACCCAATTATTCTGATATATATATAATCAGACAACTTTACAAGTCTACCCATTTTTATATGCTCATTCAATCAGGGCAAGCGCCATAGGAAAATCATAATACTTTAGAAAATAGGGTAAACGAAATATACGAAAATTGCATTTTTTGGCAACAAGCTTTTAATTGCACTTTGTATGTGCTCATTACCTTAAATTAAGAGCGAGGCAGGCAGCTGGCGACTCTTTCTGGCGTTTGGGAGCCTTCTTAATGCAAAACTTGGCAGCTTTTTTTTGGACAGTTTTACTGGCCGGGCCAAAAACAAAACGAAGCCTGCATTTAAATGCATGAAAGAAGTCAATGCAAAAAAGAACAGCAAATAAAGAATTAACATGGAGGGAGAGAGAGAGAGAAAAGGAGTCCACATATGTGTGTGTGTGTGTGTGTGTGTGTGTCTCACGTTTTGTTGTTAATGAGCGCAAAAGTAGCAAAGCGAATGGAAAATGGAAAATGCGATGGAGAACGAGAATGAATGAAAATGATATTGCCAAAAGCGTTACGAACGACTTTAAACGACGAAAACAAGCCGAAAAGTGGGGCCTGGGACATAACACACACACACACACACACAGAGACACACACACACACACATGTGAGTGCCTTTGGGTTCAATCTATGTGCATTTTATTTAAATCTGTAAAGACTGGCAAAATAATTAAAGTGTGGATTGAACTTATTTTGGCACAAGGAAAAGACAATTAGGAAGTGGCCCTCGAAGCAAACAACAAAAACAAGGAGTGGGGCGTGGTTCTGCTCTGATACGCGTAATTTCAATTAAATGCAGCACAGGGAATATCCTTACCAGCGACTGCCATTTGCAGATTTTGTTATTTCTTTTAATGCATCTATTTTTTTTCGTTTTTCTTAGTTTCTTTTTGTATACTTTGTTGGCCGTTGGCTGTTAATACTATTATTTTTTCATTTGCAGCAACACACGCGGATTAGTGTTGAAATGTAATCGAATTGGGGTTGCAATATGCACTGCAGAACAGGGGTAGCTACTGCACATGTGTGTGCTTTGGAGTGATTTTTAATTAAAGTGCTGCGTTAATTGCATTAATCTCAGTGTTTGCATGGGCGTTAGTTGCAATTCCACAGAAAGCAGAAGGGGCGAAAGGCGAATGCGGTGGATTGAAAAAGAGAATCACTGAAGCATTTCAAATTCTAGTGTACACAATCTGAGCATTGGATAAGCTCTTTGAGTGCAGACTCAATTTAACAAAAATGAACAAAATAAACGTATCAATTTAGTGATTAAACCAACAGCTCAAAATGCCAACAAGTTTTTGAGAACTTTGATTGCTGCCACTTGTAGCAATCAACAAATGTTACCCACAAGTCTTATAAAATGTTATTATTCATAATTGAAATTATATTTGTAATACAATAAACATTAAGTGATTTCTCTTGTATCCATATCCCATAAATAAAACTAATTCTACTCGCAAGTTATTGCTCATTTTAAATTATAATCTTATAATTGCAGCTGGTTTCGCTGACTTAAAGTTCGCCAGCAGACGTCGGCCAGCAGTGTGGTCCAAACACAATTGACATTTATTGGCCAATATATATTTATAAGCAGTCCGCCCAAAGGAAGTGGCTGGCTTGCAGACACAACACATTGCTTGAAAGAGAGAGAGAGAGAGAAAGCAAAAGCAAACAAAAACTAAAAGAAATAAAAGAGATAGTAAAAACTAGGTTTATAAATCTTGATGTCATCATTGCTGCATAGGAATTGGCAGCAGACTCGCATGCAAATGTTGAGCAGTACGACGAGAAGGACAAACAGCACAATGCCGTCCTGCGGGCAACGGGGGCGTGCCCCGACATCGGCAATATCAGCAGCGGGCACCAGCTGTATTTGCTGGCTGGCCTTACTTGTGCTATTAATGTTCGTGCCCGGTAAGTAAAAGCTATGAGCACAATATTGTTGACAATTCTAAACTCAAAACGCTAAGCAACAAAAAGTGTTTGCCAAATCGCAGCTAATTTTGTAGAAGATTTGCACAAAGTCCGGTAAAAACTTTCTGACGAAATATTCACAAAAAGACGTTAAGCCCAAAAAAACAAATGACACAAAACTGACAGCCCCCAGAGCCGACGATAATTAATTTTTAAGCTGCACAAAATGAAGCGCGGACAAGTGACATCCAAAAGATACTGAAGGACGCAATCAGTGGGAATTGCTGATGGGGGGCAGGAGGCAAAATCAATCGTTCGTAAAATAAACAAATCTTATTTTTCCGCAAACATTATTTCTCATCAGCAACAGTAGCAACACTGGCAACAGCAACAACAACATTAATAAACGAATAGAGCGATGACAACAAAAATTTTTCATAAATGCGCTCATTCATCTGCATAAAACGATGACCGGATGTCGAGGGGTATTCGGGAGTGCGGCACTGAGATAGTGCGAGAGAAAGATAGCAACCAATTTGATGCCGCGGGCATGCAGCGAAATTTTTGTTGAGGGTTGCCCAAAACAATGATATTGAAATAATAGACTCGAATCAATTCTGAGCTTAATAAATGTAAATATGACTTTAAAATCGTTAAGTCAACATTATTATATGAATCAATGTAGTTAAACATAATTATGTGAACAAATGCAATTGGACATAAAGTTTATTCATCCTTTTGAACTCAAGGGTATACAAATATTTGTAAATTTGTATTGTTTATAAATCGAACTATTATACTATACATTTTCTTTCCTTATGAGCTCTTTGACTAGCCAGATGAAGCTCAAAGACTTCAAGTCAGATACAGTCGTAGTTATATTATAATCATAATTTGCTCGAAAACTGTAGCTATCACACTTGTGCCCATTATCAGTACAATTTTCAGCTAATATGTGTATTTTGGAGTCAACCCTCGGCATTATAATCATAATAATAATAGTAATAAGAGGCACGCAGCAGCTCAATGCTTTGCTTATAGTACTCGAAGAGCCCCCAAAATGATGATGTTGCAAAATGAACTATAAGATACTTAATATCCATCCACTGACTGCCATTTGCTGTATGGTTTTTGTTGCTGTTGCTGCTTTACTTATTTCATTTTTGTGTATAGCGTTATAAAAATCGCAAAAGACACGCTGTAAAAAAGGCAGACAGTAGGAGAAGTGTAAACAAACAGAAAACCAACAATAACAACAATGAAAGCTCTGAAAGCAATTGCTGTCTTGAAAAACTTCATAATTTTTTGCGTGATAAAGTCGCATTTGCTAGGATTAAATAAGATTTTCCTGCAATTACCCAACAAGTGCAGAAGGTTTTTTTTTCTCCAATATTGTTTGTATTGATTCCAATTTGGAAATTCAATATTCAGACACAGACCAATCGATGATTTCTAATTTATGCCGAAAACAAAAGGTCCAGTTCAATTTTTGGGCCTTTGTGTTTTAATCTGTGGACAGCACCTAACATGCAACATGTTGCGAGCTGTCATAGTAAAACACACGAAGCAATATGGAGAAAAGTCAGCTTTGTGCTGCTGAAGTGTAAATACCCTTGCTGATGTATGGCACATGTACCATATAATATTAAAGTGTTACGTAGACAACAAGTTCTTACACAGCTGAATAATAACAATGATAACTATTTATTTCGATTTTCATTAATATTTGATCAATTGAAAATTATTTCTATGCACTGGAAAATATCTTCTTTAAAGCATTGACCACTTTGTCACTTAATTAATAATACCCTCTGCAAGAGCAGAATACTAAAACAATGCTTTCAATTGGCCTCAACTTTTCGTTGAGCATGAATATCTGGTATGTGTCTGCATGTTGCTGGCCCATAGAAAACCGAACAGCACACATACGCACTGTTGTGCGGTGCTCTGTTTGCTAAGCACCTAAGTGAACTGGTTGCTTGCCCTCCTATTCCCCCCACTGTCTACCCTCTACTTCTGGCACAAAAACAGTGCCACTTTGCATATCACACGAACTTGCACTTTGCAGCTGCCGCTTTTTTTTCTTTTGTCTATGAGGGTTTCCTAAGCGGAGGCGAGAACAGGGGCAGGGATTGTGTTTTGTCTAGCAGACATTTGCAGTTTACTGTTTTGACATTTCTACTTAATGCAGCTGATGGGTGACAGGCCCAACAACTGACTGACAACCCCTTTTGTCATTGTGCCATCAACTATTGTGGGCTAAAGTTTGCGGTCTCTGTCAGAGCCTGTCTAGCTGCGTATCCAATCAAGTCGTAGGTAACTTCTGAGAGCAAGATTGGTAGATATACGAGGCAACCATGTGTAAGATGCGTTGCACATCGATTTTGATTTGCTAGAAGCTACTATGTGCAAAAGTATATGAGACAATACATAATAAGTATTGCAAAGCGACTACTTGCATTAAATCGAGCCCAAAAAGCACAGAATCAAAATATTAAATTTGTAAGAATTATAAATTATCATATACAAACATCAAAGTACAGAATATAAAATGAGTCATCCGTTTTAATTTCTTGTTACTATGTGAATGCAATAAAGCTTTTCCCAACGAGAGAAAAAGTTATGTTTTTGTTAAATTTGAGAAATGTTTTATGTGCCTGCAACTGGGGAAAATTTGTATTGTCGTTAACATTTCGTGGCCTTATTTGTAGGTCAGTAGGTAGTTTTAAACATTTATCAATTTGTAATAAAATCAATATTAATTTTTTTCAAGACCATAAAATGCAAATATCAGCTTTAAGAGGCCTAACGTTGTCAGTTGGGGACTGAGCTGCACTTAAAATTATATTTTAATAGCAGCAAAGAAAAACATGCAAAAAATATATGGCAAATTTGCATATAATTTGCACAATTGAAAAAAATGTGAGCTGAATTCAAATATAAAATGTTTTTCTCACTGTAGTACAAAAATTGTACTTTTCTTTGCTTATTGTTTTTTTTTTCGGATTGCGAGCTTATAACTGTTTGAGCTTATGAAATTTAATGATATAGCAACATGCACCACTCACAAACTGTTGTAAAACTGGCTTAAAATCTCATATTTCAACTCGCACCGTGTTCCCCGAATTTTATATTTATATTTTTTTTTTCTCCAACAACAACAAATAAATGCAACAGCAACAAGATGGTCAATGTACCCGCCGTGGATGTTGTCTGTGTTGTTGCTGTTGTTTTTGTTGCTTTTATTTTGGTTATGAAATATGAGTCAAGTTTTCAATGCATGCCGGATGCATTCATTACCGTTGACGACTGAGTGGGGTGCGTGTGCGAGAGTGAGAGACAGGGATGGAGCAAGAAATGGGTAGCGAGAGGAAGTGAGACAAGTGGAAGCGACGAACTTCATGCATACACATGTTGGCCATTATGTAACTATAAATATACGTTTGTGTGTGTGTGAGTGTGTGTGTGTGTGAATGTTTGCTTGCGTCGCCAACTCAGCTGTGGATATTTCTCTTTTGCGTTTTTTACATTTATAACAAATGCCCTACACATCCACTCACACACAAAAACTTTATGATCTCATGCATATGTATGCGTTTATAAAAGCCAGTATCCACCCACACACAAACACACACACAAACACGTATACAAAGGCATTACAACGGGCACGGAAGAAAAAAAAACTTTACTGGGAGCTAAGCTATGAAAATGCCATAAGAGACGGCCAAACTCAAATAAATTTAGATATAATGAAAAGTGTGTATGAAAAAGATCTAAAACCAATTGATGAACAAAATTACAGTTAAAAACTTTTTTCTCATTGTACTTAAAGTAAAAATTCGTTAGGTATTTTTGGCCTAGGTATTATATTACTTTTGTGAAATCAAAGGTCTAAAATATGTTAGCTTAATTGCTTTCCCCACTCAACAAATTTATTTCCACATTCCGCTTTTAACAAATGGATTACAAGAACTTATATTTTCTTGCTTAGTGCCTATGTTTTCGACTGATTGGTTAGCAATATTCCGCCCTCGTTTATTTCTAAAAGAAAAAAAATTGCTTCCCAAAGTCCATAATTTCTTAATCTACATCAAATGTTGACAGTTTTATTAAAAAAAAAAAGCGAAAAACTTTGTCACCGACATGCGAAATGTGAACAAATGAACAGGAAACGGAAGTTGTATGACAAAAGCTAGAAAGAAAGAAAAAAAAGGGACAAAAATCTGTGAAAAACACAACCCAAAAGATGTGTAAATTTGTTCGCGTTTTCTCAGATCGGGGCAAGTGCCAAATGTCACAAGACCCAAGAAAATCCCAACCAAAAAAAAAAATGGTAGACTAACCCCTGGAATATGTTTCAAGTTGCCAGCGGTCGCTGTTTGTATTGATGTTTGCTGAAGTAGAAATGAGAAAAGTTTTGGGCAAAACATTGTAGGGGGTTAAAGTGATGGCGCTTATTTTATATTTGTTGCCGCTCTGGGGGTAATCAAAGCAAAACGCTGTTCCTTTCATATGCGTGGGCAAAAATTCGTCGAATTTGTTTGTCTTCCGTGCGCAAGCATAAAGCACATAATAAGAGACATAAGAGGCGGAGGAAACGAGGAGCGAAACTAATGTAATGGAAATTTGAAATTATTGAAAATAAATGAAAACAAATAAATATACCCAGAGCATTTTATTTGTTTTTTTTTGCCTTTTTTTTTCTTTTCTCTGCTGAGCTCAAGCGAAAGCCTCCGCTTCTGATTTCGGGGGTGTCAAAGCGACGCGTTTGCCATTTACCACTTGAGGGTAAATGTAAAGAGAAATGAGAGAGGATATTGGGAATTTCACATGCTGTCTGCCACAAAACAATAGCAAAAGATAATGTGATTTATTTATAAACATATTAGGCAGCTGGGACAAATAGCACAATCGACTTATCGGTCTGTATTAACGGATATATCTGTAAACTTTATCAGCTGTTCATATATACAAATAATAATATAATAATAATATTTAGT